AGAAGGAGTGGAACTTTATTTCGCGATTTTAGCTGTAGTTTTTGGAATTAAGGTAGATCTAGACTTATACTATAGAATACACAATTTTCTTTAAATCCGCGGAAATATTTAATCACTGCGACACTTATTTTATATAGCCAATTTATTAATTAAAAATCGTAAAAAAATATATTTCTTAAAACTGAAAAATTAAAAAATTCAATATATTTATTAACTAGAAAAAACGGACCCTTAACTTTCCGACAAATGTTAAATTAATTTCAAATATTTATTTAAAAATACACATTAAAAAAAAACACTAACCTTCTTTCTTAGAAAGGGTGAAAACTTTATTTTTATATTGCGTTTTAGAGTAGTAGCTTTGGACTTTGGTCTGGATATTGGTCTCATAAAAAATCTGTTTTCAAACTTATCGTAAAAAACTATAAAACTAATAACACGATTACAGACATATTTATTGCTTATATTATTATTGATTTAACTTCGATGCAGAGCAAAAAAGGTATTGTTTTTATTTTTGTGTCTAGACCCACGATATTATTCTCTGCCGAAATATATTCTTTATATTCCTCTACATTACAAGTTTATAAATCATACCTGAAAGGTACTTTATTAAGCCAAAAAATAAATAAGTTCACCCTTTATTTTAAAACATTTTCTATATTTTCAACTTAAAATTATGGCGCTCTATAACTTTTTGAAAAACATTCAAATATTCCTAAGGTAAAGCACTATTGTTAAACGTAGACAAACCATTACCCAGAAAGAGCGGAAACTTTATTTCGCGATTTTAGCTGTAGTTTTTGGAATTAAGATAGATCTAGAGTGATACTATAGAATACACAATTTTCTTTAAATCTGCATTCAACCTTATTTTTATTAAGGAAAAAATAAAAAAAAGTGAAAATTTCACTGACTGTTGTAAATTTCATATTTGCGTTTTCTTTTCAATGGCCAATCAAGATGTTTCTAGCGCGACCAGTTCGCAGTCAAACATCCCACTCTTTATACAAAACTCTTTACATATTTTTCTACCATTATTCTCGAATTTTTATTTCTCATCAGGTGACTCTTTTATCAATAATCTTTTATTGGATATTTCTCTTATGAATAGCCACTTATCAGCTTCAATAAACAATAATATAGTCAATTATGATAAGGGACTAAGCCATAAAGACATGTACATGCATGATCTGAGTTTTTCAATTGAAAATTGTAAAATTGCAGTTAATTTTCAAACGATTTTTTTACTTATTCCATTTCTATATTAAATGTATTTAAATTGAAAATGTTTAAATATTAAATTGAATTTTAAATACTAGTATGGATTATAATCGAAAATTCACTAAGAATTGTTGTTATAATAAAAATAAAAAAAAAGTAACACTATATGATTTACACAAATTTTGCGATTTACGAATATGATCCTTAGCCACCTTACAAATATATTCTTATTTACCGTAAAGTTTGTTATACGTTATAATATAGGGCTTAAATGATATTTGTATATAATTTAAGCCCTAGTGTTTTGCTATTATTATGCTAGTAAAATGTTTGGTAAACATTAAAAAAAAACCAGACGTGTTTATGCTTAAATTATTGAGCTTAAATTATAGTCTTGCTGGTTAATCATAATCAAACAAAAACCTGTAAATCACCATGGCTAGTTTGGATAAAATGTAAAACTGTTTATAGTTGTACAATATAACTTAAAGGTTAACACTATATTTTAGTTTTTAGTTTTTATTAAATAAATATTTCTTCTTACGTTTATAAGCCTTTATAACATTTTGTTTTTATTTTTCATAAATACAATAAGCTATTTTATATTAGTTAATTATAAATAAATAATGAAACCTTTGCGTATTGATGAAACCTTATTTTATAATTAGTTAATTTAGAGACAAGTTGATATCATCGCTAAATATTTACATGGTTTTTGCACTAATTGTAAAAGGAAATAAATAGAAGTAAAATTGTATTAATATAATATTTTATAATATTATACGTTGATGTGCCGATAAATAAACAAAAAAAAAACGTCCATTGCGTTGTTTTGAGATTAATTCTGTATCGTAAATTTTTTATTTAAACGTTAAAGCGGGATAAAAAGGACCAATATTTTATTGTACTGTCAGATTTTATGAAAAGTAGTAAATGAAACAAAGGAAAAAGTGTATAATGTGATTTGATTTGCAATATATAACGTTATACCGTGTCAGCAATAATGCAGTTTTTATTAAATATTATGTTCATGGAAATATTTGACCCACTATTGTATTGTGTTGTTTGGTGTAAAAGTTCTTAGTGAATATATATATATACATACTTATATATTATATTCTGTTATCCTGTTCTGAAACAAAACTCGCCTATTCGTTTCAATTTAAAGAAAAATAACGGCTTTACTGGAACAAATTATTACTATTCTGTCGGCAATAAATGGTAGCCGTAGATTCATTCATAACATTAGTCTATATCACATACAAACAGTCACCTTGGATCCACATGATAATTGATAAAGGAGGCGGTAGATTTTTTCTGACAAGTCATTCGGTTAGACAAAATGGTGTGTGCAAATGATTGGCTATTGAACTGTTAAAAGCACACGAGCTTATTTTATTTATCAACATGGTGGTCGTCCAAAGAATTTTCATTAAAATGTACAAAACACATTTTTATTAATACCGTTTTCACATAAGACTAATTAAATGATTTAGATTAGAATAAAAATTAATATTCGTACTATTATGGCTAAAATAGTGTAATCAAACGAATTTCAGCCAATTAAATTAAATATAACCAGCTTCATATTGATGTATTTAAAATTATTTTTATCATCAGTATCCAATTATGAACCTCTTTTATAAAATAATTTTCTCTTAAATAATGACAATACAATTCAATAATAAAAACCCCACTTATTGATATTAAGTTAGATTATTATTGTATTAAATAATGTACTACTAATAGTTATTCTAGTATCAAACATTTTTTTTGTTATTTTCTATTACTTAGAAAATCATTAGTTACACATTTCACTATTATAGCATGGACATTTTTGTTACTGAAAATAGAATGAATTTTGAGATCGTGGGATGTTATTATGTTAACTTTATTCTTAAAATTATTGCATCGTTATAAGATAAAGTAAGCTTGTTATTATTTATAAATAATTTAATAAAAAAGATTCGCCGTTCAACTTATAGTATTATTTGATAGTATGTTGTCAAAACGGTACTAAAATGTATACTCATTATTTCTAAATATTTAGGTACCTATAGGTTGCAATACAAAACATTTGGAAATATTGACACTATTATTGTTTATATCGCAGCCCATCATATGCATGACAGACGACAGTATACTTATGTGATTTATGTGTTATGGAATAATACCATCAACTCTAGTGAATCTATTAAACTGTAATGTTCCCCGAATGTTCATTAATCGAATTTCAACACATTACGTGTCTCGTGAAACGCAATGTGCTATTTTTTTCCAACAACACACGTCGAAAATATTGAAAATAAACAATATCCAAAATCACGGCAGGCGGTGGTTTTAAAAAAATACCAATACATCCAAGTTAAAAGAAAGGTTCGAAATGTTAGAATATGAAAACTTAAGTTTTTTTTTTATATACTGTAGAGTTTATCCCCCTGTAGTAAAAATACACGCGTTAACACTTAATATTGTGACAATCACAAGTATAAATGATTTTATTTTATTACATATTGTTTTCATTATATTAATAAATATATGAAACTCATTATAATAATATAACAGAAATGCAACACTTATTACCTAGATATTGTGCACAAAAAATAAATTATAAGGAAACCTGTGAAAACACTGTTTATAATTTAAAGAAATGATGGCAAGCAATAGGCTAAATATTGAATATGTTAGCTAACGCATTAAGAATACTTAGGTAAAATTAAATGGGCTGCGTGCCATTATTTATATTTTTTATAAGACCTAATAATACAAAAAGACTTGAGCAAAACGTAATTTTCGTGTGTATGCCGGTTGTATTTATTTATATATAATGTTTTCTTTGCATCCATCATAGTTTCCAAAAAAATCATTTTTTTCAGGCCCTAACTTTTTTGTATTCAACACACTATTCTGGAAGGCGCGCAATTTACCGATTTCCGTTTATCTTTTTTACACGATCTAGTTTGGTTCTTAGCAGTCTGTATGATAGAAAGAAATTCTACCGGGTCAATCGAACCGCATGAAATAAATGTGTGACTGTTCGTCTAGTCAAAAGACATCACTGTCAATGCTTTTATCATCTTGATCAAAAAACGGAAAAAAGATTATATATTTGGACGAAAGAGAATACTAATGGTTATGTCTGTTTCGATCACGTACCCTTTATACTCAAATATTTACACTAAATTGTAATCAGATTGCATAATTTTGTAAATCAATTAAGTTTTGTTAATTATTTATTTTAAAACTATTAATTTCTTTACTATATTTATATATGTATATATTTACGTTGTATTTATTACTAATATCATGTACAATGCGATTCAAATATTTCCGGTTTAGGAGTTAATAAGCTAATAAGAATCTATACACTAACTAAGTGAGATTACAAATCAATGTTGTATGAATTTGTGTATAATAACATGTTTAGTGATCTACTGTGCTACTGAGGTTATATGAGGAACATATATACAGAACAATTATTTTCACAAAACGCTTACAGGCAAGCAAGGATAAAGGGTGGCATTTGAAAACTAAACTTACTCCAAATCTAGTTTTACAAAAACCAATGTAGTCTTTATTAAATGCTGATGGTTACCGATTAGTCAAAGTATTCAGAAAAACTTTTTAAAATAGCTAATATTTTAGGGTCAAAATTAAAATATTGTCTAGAGACCATACATCAGAGACTACAAATCTTAAAATATAATAAAGCCATTTTATTTGGAATTTCAAAACATTAAAAGTTAAAACTATAATGAAATGTTGTTAATACTCACATATTTTATAATTTTTTGTTTCAATAATTCTTTGATATCTTTATCTTCTAATGATGTTATATTCACTAACTTAATTTCAACGTGATACCGCGAATCTGTAATAACAATACAAAATCATAATGAATGTACAAAACTGTATACCAATTTATTAAATTATTTCCAGTACATTTTTAATTATAGTTACAACTCGAGTTTAATCTATACAAAATATTGGATATAATAAGGATGTAGGTAACTACAAGTGTAAAAGCTTCGACTGCTTTAAGGATCATTTTTCTTTTCTTATTATAGGAATACATAAAAAACTTTTAAGTTAAAAGAAAAATCATTAACGGATTATTAAAATCAAATGAATTATTACTTTTAAAGTAATTTTTCTGAAGCTTACCAAAAAAACCAAGCAAATTTTTTTACCTTACCTTAACGTATACATGTTTATTTTTTCAAACTTGAACATATATATACCGACCAGTATTATTATTATTATTATTATTACAAATGCACCAAAAAATATTTTATTTTATGAAAATTTAGTTTTTTGAATTCTTACCACTTATAAAATTTTTAAAAATAGGAAAGAACGCTTCTTATAAAATAAATAATTTAACTGAAATCTGTTATATTTTTAGATGTAATGTTAGTTTATAATTTTAATCTAAAAATAAGGGTATAATTAATATAATATTATCATGCGTAAATGATACACAAGAATCGTAGTACATTTATTCCATAGTCATTATGATATATTAGGGAGTTTATCAACAACTTTGTACTTGTATCTTTGGCTATCGACAATAGAGTTGAAATGTATATTACTTCTAAGCACTTCCTGGAATGTTACAACATAATGTTAAGTGTTAAATTTTACTGTGAAAACTTTCATGGATTTCCGTGAATCCGGACCATATTTGATACCACAAGCCAATAATACAACAAAATATCGATAGCAGTGCAATACATTATCGCATTGAAAGTACAAGTAGCATTACATCGTAAATGAAACCACAAAAAAAAAAAAAAAACTTCTATAATGGGCGATGGATCAACCGTCAACTAGCCAGAGAAAAAAAAATTAATTTCTGAACATCCGTTTACATAATATTCTATGGTGTTCTTACATTCTCTGAAGTATTTGAAATTGAGCTAGATCTTGGATGTCTGTGAAACCATAATCCAGTTGTATTTGTTTTTAAGTAGTTATGATTAGACCACTTACATAATATTATTCATTTTATATCGTTCTTATACTTGTTTTAATTAAGTGTTTACGTATTTATGACATTATGATTGTTAAAAAGTTAACATACCATTAAATATGATTGATTTTTTGATAAAATTATTTTTGTGTAACTATCTATTGATTGGTTGTACGAGAAGAATCTAATTCAATTGGAAATAATTCTTGAATACATTACCTTTACATAAAACGAGTTCCCTTTAATAAAAAAAAAAACAGAAAATGGTTAATTTTTTTATTTCGAGATTAAGGATAACCCTTATTTATGCCAGTCAACTGAAAATACCATCTAATAATTTACTAAGCAATTTAGTTAAAACACAATAATAATATAGTAATGTAATAATATAAATATAGTGATAAAATAAAGCAAATGTATTATTTTTACTGTTGCACTGTAGCAATTTTAGTTATGATAATTATATTTATAGTAGGTTTATAAGGAATTAAAGCATAACTCTGTTGAAATTTTATCTCAAAGACGCGTTTTATCTAGGTAGGTAAAAGGAGTAGTTAGCGTTCAAAAACTAAGCGAAGGTAGGTGTTATACGCCGAACTAATATGTATTGCCAAGGTGGCTTTGAGCTTTATTCGCTATAACAAATTGCTTTATAAGCTTGACATTTGGTAATTTTAGCGGTATTGTTTTGGTATGTGACAATTTGTACACGTAGAATTAAATTAATTCCAGTGATCTCTCATGTAAATACATTTTATCATGGCGAATAACTGTCGCGGATAAGCCTGAAGAACAAAAGACGATGGAACGCTAAAAGAATACTAACGAGTTACAAAACATGCTATGTTGTAGATTATGCTATGAGATAATATTATTTCTTAGTACTGTAACATTACGAACTTTCATTAATATAATTATTCATTAATATTCTTAATGTTGTTATACATAAATTAAGTTTTTAAAAAAAAATTTACTCACAATGTAATTGCAATTTTAGGAAAAGTATTCTAATTTTTCTAAACAATGTATAGGAAAACAATATAAGAATTATTATTTCTATTTGTTATATAATGACTATTAGTGACTATTATTATTTATGACTATTAGTTTTTAATTTATCTAGATATGAATAATATTATATGAACTGAAAATTGTTTATTCAAATTGACCAACTTTTATTTGTTTTATGTCAAATATAATGTTTAATAAATATAAGAAAAGTTGATTATTATATAATTATATGTAAATAAAAAGTGGTTATGCTTATTCTTTAGTTTACTAAAGTTCGAATAAGACTTAAGAGAACGCCACACCGGCCATTTCTAAGAAGTAAAGTATAGGTAATTTTTATAAAAATCTTAATTTAGAGTTTGAACTATAATGAATACTTATTAAATAAGTATTATTAAGGATACTTTGTTGATTGCCTTTTTTTTTGTCAAACTAACACAGTCATTTCTATAGGATAAAATACATGCCATCAAAAATGCTTTGCGCGGATTGATTTTTCTCAGGTTTCATAAATAGTTAAAGAAAGAAATTCATACATATTATTTATGAAAAAATTATCTGTGTTCTATCATCCGTATTTTTTCGATATACCTTATACAACCAACGCTATATCGTTTTTAAAAAAGTAAAAAAGTCCTTTCTTAATTAATTAATTATTCATTAACTGGTTGAAATATTAAAAACGGGCGAAGGTAAAACACAGACAATTTTGTTGTTTATATTTTGTAAAAATTTAGTTTCTTGGTTTTGATTATAGCCTTTGTAAAATTAATCTGCGCAAGGCGGGTTTTTTGAAGAAAATAACGGGTGTGTGACGTCTTCTTAAGCACGAAGAAATTTGTTTGTAAAGCACTAATAATGATTCAAGATTGCCTTGACCGACTTCGCCAATAAAATTGGAAGGAGAAACTGCCTTCCAAAAAATTATATTTTATGTTTATTTTAGTTTACTTTTGTTTATAATATAAGTCCAGTACCGGACGCGAAAAAAAGAACATATACAAGAAGATAATATATTAACATAGTGTTATCATGAATATAACATTTTTAGAATATTAAAAAAAAAAAATTAGTTTAACGAAACGCCAATGGTGTTATAATTTATAGAAATGAATAAATCAATACTCTTTAGAAGTACGAATTCATTGAGAAAGAAGAGTGTTGTTATAAGGTCTGAATTCGAATGCCATATAAAATCTTTTATAATATAAAATGTAATATAAATTAATTAAAAATATTATGGAATTTATTTATGTATACTTGTAGACATGATCTTGAACTGTAATATTCTTTTTTTACAATTAATGAAACTGAATTTAAACTTGAAAATGTATCAAATTCTCGTACGGAGCAAACAGAAAAACAAGGCGAACAGCACATCAAACTATAACAGAGTAATTTACATTTTTTATTTCCAAAGCAATGAAATATATTTTTAACTTAATTTTTTTCTCTCAAAATTTAGGGTTTTCTAACACAATAACTTTTAACTACGCGGATTTCAAATCCAAAAAGATACGTATTCGATTCAAGTTTTCCAGCGTTAATGGAATCTTATTTGTGTTTTGTTACTGAAGTTTTGCACATAAGTTAACCGAACAACATTCATCAGTGGCTTATTTGCCTCATACCATTTAGAAATATTATAATAAGTAGTGCCGTGGCAAGTTAAATTACAGTTGTAATTCTAATTGGATTTCCCCCGTGAACATGCGTTTGATACAATATACACAAGGCGAGAGAAAGTTTGCAATGAAATAAATTATTTTACTTTAGCTCTGTTATAATTTTAAAGATATAAGATGTTATTTTATTGGAATATAATTATTAACAGTCTATATTTTGGGCACTGAAATATAAAATAATCATTAAACTTGTTTGTGGCTAAATAATTTGAATTTTACTGCTATACCAATGATGTCAAATGAAATCATTGTGTTACAGTACGAACGTAAGTACTGATAAAGCATATTGTTTTATGATTTATGTATTGGGTAAAATAAACTCCATTACTTTGGATAGTATAACTTCTCAAACAAATGATCGTTATAAAATATTAAAGCGTGTTTATTATAATAAGTAGACGGTCCAAAAATTGAGACATAAATTTAATTATATCTAAAGGATGATTCCGATCGAGCCAGATTAAGTGATTGACATTTAAATATAATACTGCTGGCAATGTTCATACAAACTGTCAGGTAAATAAAATTATATTGACAGCTGTAAATTATTTAGAAACTATTTTCTCGTAGAATCCTTCCAAATGATTTTTTAAATTAACCCGATACCCAAGAACTCTAATAAGTATTTCTTTTATGAAAGTTAACTATACTGCTGATGATTTTATTACATGCATTTGTATAACAGATTTTTAATTTATACTATGCATAGCATAGTAATAAAGGATTAAGAAGAGAATTATAAAAAAAATAATGAACCAACCAGTAGTTGGTTCATACGTTTAGACGTAGTTGATTTTAATTAAATAACCTAATGTAAATAGGGAAATAACATTAATGAAACAATATATATATATATATATATCTAATAATGTATCGTTGTATCATCTACATGTCATCAAACCAATAGAACGTTCGTAGACCCCACTTCTCTCCGCTTTGAATAGAAGTACTCGGAAACACACACGAGTGATAACAAACCGTGAACCTAATGCACATAAAGCTTTAATTGAACGATGTGCCGTCTAGATAGGGATGATATTGCATATTATGTGACAAACGAGAGTACATCATGTTATGCTAATTGTCAACAAGCATGTGATAATTATTACTAATTCGTATCAAAATTCACACCAACCGACGACAACAATTTAATATTGTAATCCAGTTGTGAATAATACGCCAATACGTACAAAATAATAAATT